GCGCCCCCTCCCTCCCCCGTGCTCGGTGCCCCACACTGCAGCTGCTCGCAGCCTGCCTGGGGCTGCCTGTGTCTGCTCTGGACAGCCCCATGTGGGCTGCGAGTGCCTGCAATGTGGGGCGCCAGCCATGGGGCAGGTGAGGGGCCACTTTTCCCCATGCTCAGCACCAGCTTCTTCCCTGCTGGCAAGCAGGGGGGAGCTGTGCTGGTGGGGCCCAGAGCAGGGTGGCAGGATCGTGGGGTCCCAGCTGGCAGAGGCTCTATGGAACTGGGCCAGCTTCCCCCTTCCTGCTGGTGCAGCCCAGCCCAGCTCCACAGACACCTGCCAACCTGCACCCTGCTTTGGGCACCACCAGTGCTGGCCCTGGGACACTGGTCCCAAGACATTGGGACATTGATCCCAAGATGGTGACCAGGGGGCAAGGCACCTGTCAAGGGGTGGGGCTACCCATGCAGCCCTTGACAGCCTGCCAAAACTGGGTAAGTGGCCCTCCACTCAAAATAATTGCCCACCCCTGTTTTATCATAAACAGTTCACAAAGCTTCATACCTGAGCTTAGGCAAAACATGAAGGTCCAACGAGGAAAGTAGCAGCTATTTTGACAGTGAAGACAAGACTCTGCCACCCAGCCAAACCTTCTAGGTTCAGAATCTCTTCACAACCATTTTCTCCTGCTTCTCCTAGGGATGCAGGAAAATGGCATATGTATATCATCTTTAGACTCTGTCCACAAATGTTAACATGATGTTATCTGCACTCCACCAAAAATCTGCCTTGCTAGAATACTCTCTCTCTCATCTGTTCTGTGACCTGCTTTGGTTCATCCATGTGGTTGGGGACAAGAAAAAAAACAAAGACAAGGAATTAAGCAGAAAAGGTTCTTTGGGTGAATCTGATATCTTTTTTAAGACCAACTTAAATAGTTGGAAAAAAAATTTAAGTAAGCTTTCGGGTTTAAAAACCTTTCATCAAGTTTTTTTTAAACCTGAAAGCTTGCTTAATTTTTTTTCCAAACTATTTAAGTCGGTCTAATAAAAGATAACAGATTCACCCAAAGAACTCTTTCTGCCTATGTCCTTAGACCAACACAGCTACAACCTACACCCCTAGGACAAGGAATTGACTTTACAATACATTAAGGGATTCTTCATTTCCAACGAAGTCTGATCCATTTCAACTATATTCTTGTGAATTCAGTTATTACACCCACTGTAGTTGGACTGGCATGTATGGGTGTAGTGCTTTCCAGCTGATCCCACTATAACCATTTAATTTGTCCACTGTATTCTACTCTAAGGTAAAGTTAAACCATTGTAGCATTGAACCTATATCACTCAGGTTTAAAGTAACAGCTGTTTACCTTTATTATAGCTGTACAGGAGCAGACAAATGAAACAGTTACTTCAGTTTAAATGATGCACTCCCCAAACAATAAGCTCTCCCCTCTCCCTTAAAATGATATACTTACATTTGTCCACAGTGCAGGTTCCATTTAAACTGGAAATTTTAAATTGAATTCTTAGATTAGGAAAAAATAAGGGTGAAAACTGTTACTAGAAATAATCATAGAAAAATAAGACTGAAAAGGACCACATAAGGTCACCTGGCCCAACCACCTGCTCAGGGGAGTCCAACCACCTGCTCTAAACCCTTGCAAATAAAACAGCTGTCTGATCTACTCTTAAAATCTGCCAGTGATTAATATTCCACAGCTTCTCTAGATAGAAAGTCCTCATAGTTAGAAATTTCTTCCTAATAGATCATTTAGATTCCCCAAGTGCAGTTTAAGCCCACTACCTTTTTACCCCTGTGCCCTCTGGGCACAGAAAACAATAGATCGTTATCCTCTTATCAAATACAAGATGACTGTTATAAACCTTTAGCATGCCTACCCCTATGTCTACTCAATTTTCAGATTAAATAATCCCACATCTTCCAACCTTTCCTTGCATGACAGGTTTTCTAAATCTCTGAGCATTTTTATTGCTCTGCTCTGAACTCTTTCCAGCTTATCCATATCTTTAAGCACGGCACCCAAAATTGGAGATTTCAGAAGTGCTGAACTGAGTAGCAGAATCATTTATGATTTGTATATGATACTTTAATATATCACAGCATGTTAATCAGCTTTTTCTGCACTAATATTATACTGTTCACTGATTCAGCTTATGATCCACAACCCCCAGGTTCTTTTCTGTAGAACTGGTCTATATAGTCAGTAGGGGAGTACAAAGTGGGCCATATCCGATTCAGATTCATCCCGAATCTGAATCAAATATGGGGGGATGGTGATTCAGGGGGACAGTGATTTGATTCGCTGATTCAGATCACTGACCCAACTTGATTCAGCCAAATCCAAATCTGAAGATTCGATGCCGAGTCGGAGAATCAGTGATTCGGCCATAGACACAACTTTAAATGTTTTTTCTACATATCTTGAGTTACCAGGCACAGCTTGTGAATGCTGCGATGGTGGGGCAGATGGACTGTCCCACTGGAGTGTGGGGGGAGGGTGTCCCTGCGTGCTCAACGGCGGCTCCGTAAGTACTTCTGATCCATATCCAGGTTTGCTACCAAGTGCGCTGGGGACCCCCCCCCGTTCTCCCGTGGGACACTCCATCCGCCCCACCATCTCAGCGTTCATGAGCCACCAGGTACCTTGAGGTATGTAGAAAAAAAACAAAGCTGTGTCTATGTCCCAAATTGTTGAATCTCAGAATTGATTTGGAGGGTTCCAATTTGATTCGGAGAGATTAAGGGGTCTCCTGATTCGATTTGGAGATTCAGCCGCTGAATTGGGCTGAATCTCCGCTGTCCTGAATCAGCAACCGAAACTTCGCACAGCCCTACAAGTCAGTCTTTCTCTATTTAGTATTTGTGTATTTGGTTATTCCTTCCTATGTGTAATACTTTGCACTTGTCCTTAATGAATTTCACCCAATTTATTTCAGACCACTTTTCAATTGTTTACCCATGAAAAGATCAAGCTAATATTACCTTTGTTTTTTGAGATAGCCACTCTGTTGTGAGTACTTTACAAAACAGTGGAGAAACCACTGCTTTAACTAGGACATACGTTTCCACTTCATCCCCTGGAGGTGCAAAAAATTCACTTAAAGCATATAACCAAATGTTATTTAATATCTTAAAAAGTAACACAATCCAAAATGGATATTTCACACAACACTACATAAACAACATGAACACAATATTACTGTATGGAGGGACTTTCAAATATAGACTTACAAAAATCCCTGTCCTTTTTTCCTTTAAATTATTATACTAAGCATGACAAGTAATCATCATTTACAATATGGTACACTGACACAATAAAAACCATGTTACAAATGTGCTGTTATAAATCAGTAACATTAGGGAAGACATTTCATGAACTGTAATTATTTCATATGAAATACTATACAATATAAACAGAACATCCATCTTGGATGACCTTTACAGCAACCAGAGACCAAGTAATTTTTAATTTTTTTCAGTGCAAACACATTTATACAAGGCAGTCTTGGCTGCAAAACTCCCTTCTAACATACAGTAAGTCCCACTTGCATTTATTAATTCACTTAAACCTAATACAACAATCACATTCAGTCACTCTCAAAAAATTACCTGCAGAATTATGATCCCTTTAAACTCAAATCTCCTCTACATAGAAAAGTAATATCTGTGTCAATTACTCTAAGGGCCCTATTCAGACCTTTCATACTTATGTGCGAATATCCTTTGGGTGGCTCTATCCACAATACAACAGGAGTGCATTATACTGCACTGAAACTTGCCCTTCCTAGGCGCAGAAGAGATGGTGATTGTGTTAGCATCCAGGTTGGGAATAAGGGGTTGCTGACTGTGCATTTCACTACAGATTTCATACCTAGCCATAGGAGAAGCACCTATATTTTAAACTTGTCAAGTTTTCAAATCCAAACGTGTGGTCTTCTGCTCCTTCTACATATTTAATCCAAGGGGAGGGAAACAAAAATCCTCAACTCAGAACAGAGCTTCAATGGAGTTCACAGCTGATTCTAATTTAAGTTACATCAGGATAAATTTAAAGTGGAGTTATTCCCGATTTACGCCAACAAAACTGAAATCAAAAGTTAGAATGCTGCTACAAAAACAGCAAAAATCCCATTTTTCTCACATACCAGCTTCATGCCAGAATAACTTCATTGACTTCATCTGAGTCTACTGAAAATTCTGATGTATTAAACTACAGGATGATTATGTATATTATTACGGGCAAATTTTTAGATATCTATCTAATAGATAAGAAGTTAGGTAAAAAATACAGCATTTGTCTTTAATACTATACAGTCTTCTTCAGAGGAGCAAAGCGGGGTGTAAACTGTGAAGTGACTTTAAATTGGAAGAGGACTATTTGTTTACTCAGTACAGCAATTTGAATGAACACCCTGGGAAAAAGAATGTAAAATGTATTTGAAAAACAAACTTTTAATTAGAATCACTATTTCTGGAGCCATTGCTGGCTTGTGAACAGCCATATTACTACAGTGAACATTTTTGGCACTGCCGATTTAAAAACCCTCCACAGAACTGTAAACGACGGTCTCTCCTACATTACTGAAATAAACACATCAGAAAAATAATTTTAAAGTGTAAACACTAAACACTTTGGTTAGATATTTGTTATTCTTATGTCTTTTAAGGGAAAGAAAGAAAGACTGGTTCATAATCCGCCTTACAAACTCTGTGTTTAAGTGTGCCCTTGCATAAAATAGGGATAACAATAGGGATATTCACATCAAACTTGTGAAGTTTAATTAATCTTTGTGAAATGCTTTGACATCTTCACATAATAGGCATAAGTGCAAAATATTATCAAGATTTGTAATGGGTGTCAAATACTGCTTTTTATATGACTTTTCAGAAAAGGCTGCTATCACCATCAAAAGTAAGGGCAAAGTTTTAATTAAAAACTTTGTTTTCCAGTACATTTTACTTTTTAAAATGGGAGTTGTGTGGAATTAAATAGTTACCATTTTCCTACAATTTTTGAATTGACATACTTACACAAAGCAAAACTGATTAATCTAGTGACTCTGTATTAATTTACATCTGAACAATACCAAGGGTTCTGTGAAAGAGGTATTAATAAATCCAGGGACTGTAGATAAAATAGAGCTGTCATGGGTCAGCTGCCACTTATCTCCTTTGGTTTTTGAAAAATTTCTAGATTATTTTTTTTTTTAAAAGGTGGCTTGTTATTGGCTATTACTTAACAGCAAACCTCATTTTTATTGGAAGTCTGCCCAAGTTCTTGGTACAATGGGCACCCTGCCACATTTTATTTAGGCTCCCAATGAAGTCTATTCCAATTTTATCATTAGTTTCAAAGGGAGTAAGTGCTCATGATGCACAGGATTTAGAAAAGAAAGTGAACATCATTTAGATGAGAGTTAAATAACACATGGCTCAGAGAGCTCTTGCCATTTAAGGGAAGCCCTGATTTGATGTTAGCATAAATGAAGGCAGAATAGGGCTCAAAGTGTTTGAAGGTTGGCAAGAAAATACTTGGCATGTCTTTTGTTAAACCCCAAACTGCCAATCACATGATCGTTCAGATCATATGTAGATGTTCAAAATTTGTTAAATTATAGTTATATTTGACTCCCTACTAGGTAGAAACTTTAGTAGTAATGGAGTAAAGATGATGGAAAGTTTTAGTCTTCCATTCACTATGAACAAAATTATGTGGCTTTGTCAACATTTCAAATTATTCACCTGAAAGCCAAATTTAATAATATAAGGAAATCATGGCATTGAAAACATGATGACTTCATACACAAGCAGTGACACATAAGAGAACACCATGACCTAATGCTTCAAAAAGTTTTTAACTTTGCTTTTTACAATACACTTTTTTTTACGTTGCTGCATTTCATCAAAATCATGGAGGTAGTTATATGTGTAAAAAAAAATTACCATAAAAGTAATATGTTGTATTATAATACATAGTAAGTGTGCAAAAATGCCGACAGATTTGTGTTGACCCTTTAAAAGTTGAATACAACACAGATTCAACCTATTTTAATTCTGTAAACCTTTAGATTGATACATTAGAAGAAGAATGATAGATAAGCAACCATGTAATACAAGGCTATGATTTCATCAAAGGATTACGATGACATAAAGCACTCAAATTCCACTCTCGTGGTTTTGCTGCCAGAGCCTAAAGATGGAATTTCCTTTTAGTCCATTGTTGAGTTTTTTTTAAAAAGAATTCAAGATTAAAACATTTCTATTTGAAACTTCTGTTTACATTCCATATTTGAAGAGTCACATTAATATTGCTACAATGCCATGTCAACATTAATATGACGTGTCTGTTGATCTATGGGAACTTTCAGAAATCACATACAGTTTCTAGGTAGATACTATCATATTTTTTTGGAATGATGTTTTTTGTATAAATGAATCAGAGTTTATAACAAAAATAAAAACTTCCCCAAAAAGTAAAACATGTCTTTGTTATTAACTTTTTAATACTGTAACTTGCATTTTCAGATCATCAGCTATAAATTAAGGTATTGTTTCAACATTTTTATTTACTGAATTGGTACATACTACTAATGTCTCAAACAAAATCACAGTCAGCCACTGCATAGTATATAACAACAACTCCTCACAAAAAACCTGACTGGTGTCTGCATTTAATAAGCAGTCTTGGAGTTACATATGTAAGCAATAAGATGAGACAGTAAGATGCATTATTGGGTAATTATAGCATGTCTTGGAAGGTATGATAAGGCAGGAGGCTAAAGGCCAAGTGACTTCAACCAACCAAAAGCACAATAATTTCCCTTACAAGCACTGAAAGGTCTTATTGCTCTTATGAAATGGAATTTATACATAAAAATAATGAAAACAGACTCATGCATTTACTGGGCGTTATAGAGATAGGTACTGTATGATATACTTGACAGAATCAGAAACCAATTGTGTCCAGAGTTATAAAGCCATTTCATAAGTACCTAATATCCAACTGTCTAATATAAGGCTGTACTAAAAACTTCAGATGACCATATAGATCATGAGTGAAGCTCAAATGGTTTATACAAGTTATACATGTCACCAGAACCTGATGAAAATACTCTTTTAAAATGAACAACTGGATATAATACCTGGGTACCAACAAGTCACAGGCAACATACATGTCAATTTGTATTCAACAATTTATACAGCTGATCATGTTTCTTAATATCTTTGTTTTTCTTACACAAACTTCTATCTCTTCTGTTAAAAAGCAAATGTGGGGTCTTTTGAAGACAGTTTACTGCAGCACAGGGCTGCATAAGTAACAGACTAGAATTTGGCCCTTTTTACCTAGAAATTACGTGTTTGATGGTTGACTATTTGTGACAGTTACTCCAGAATAATTAATATAGTGTAAATTACTTTGGAGCAACAATTTAGGGTAGTACAAAGGAATATAACATACCTGCAGAATTAGGATGTTTTCTGTCAATTATATGGACACATTTAATTTCTAATAATACGCAATTTTAAAAAACTATGTTTTTTTCCCCAATAAAATGCTAAATTGCAAATATTCTTTGAATAAAAAGCCTGAAGTTTATAATTCTCTAAATTTGTTCTCTGATAAACCACTACAACGTATGCTAGTCTCAATAGCCTAATTTAGGCATTCTATTTAAAAACTACATAAAATAGAATCACATCCTTCCATTAGAAAGAAATCAACTCTTCAGGCCATATTTGTCATATGTATCATAAAGAACTTTTTTGTTCAAACAAATTATTTTTCCTGATTCTCTTATACCAGCAAGCTGGAATCTCAGAAGTGATAAGAATGGGATCACCATTCTTAAATTATTGATTTAAAAAAACCCCCAAGAACAAAACTCTTTTACGGTACTCCATGCTGTGCCTCAACCACAGTTAAACTTTCCTTCCCTCCCTCTCTGTTGAATGACCTACATCCTTGTTTGGAATAGGGGGAGATTAAGAAGTAAGTTTTAGCAAACATCTCTTACAATTTTACAGAAAAAAAATAATGCAGTTCCACCATAATTCTTTCCCATCCCACCTACTTAAAACATAATCTCTTTTAACTTGTTTTTATGGATTCTTGAAAAATTGTGTCATCAAATCTCACAGTGAAAATGACAGATGTATAAATAACTCACAGATAGAGCTGATGTCTTTCCTAGTTGCATTTTGCATTGTTTTCTCTTAAGGTGACCTTTGCTGTTTACTTTCAGCTGTGGCTCATTTTTTGAAGGGAAAGGATCAACTCTGTGACAGAATTTAGCCTCTGACAGGGCACATCACACATCTGTGGCATTTTTAAATGGAGTTGGCAACTGCATGGACATTGAAAATGCAGATTACACTTACAGTGTGTAGACTTTCATATATGTGCTCAGTTACAATTAAGTGAAGCAAAAAAGTGTACATATTATCCCTATCACTATTCTGTTGCTACAGAGCCGCAAATGTGAAAAGCAATACCTTGAAGTAAAGATTTCTTTGTTGCCCCTAGCCTACATAGCAGCACAGTTTAAGTAAACACTAAAACTGTGGTTGAGATGCTTGTTTTTTCCCCGAAGATGTAAACACCAGTCCCCAGTGTCGTAAACTTCGCTGTATAGGATGAGACAGAAGATCTGAGGCAGAATGATTATCAAACACTAGTAACAGAAGCTTGCAGGCAGTTAGCAGGTTTCTGCAGTTTTTCAGCTTCGCTTGTTGGAGGGTCTGCAGTTGCTCGAAAGCTGAATGTTGGACCCACGCCACCATGTGCAGGACTCAGAGCTGGGTTTTGACGTCTGTTACTTTCAACAATACTTGAAGTGTTGGAAGCCAAGCTCTCACGAGTACTAAAATGGAAAAGAAAAAAAAACACACACACACACTCATATATTACATACCTATATATCTATCTGGCAAAGAGGAACAGTGAATGGGGTGTTTTATAATAGGCTTCCTGTGTTTGTACGTAGTGTCACATCAATGAACCATCTCAGTTTGATGATTCACATATGTTCCTTCAAAATGGATTCCAGAAGTACTCACTAGTCACCATGTTATAGTACAGGTATATTACTAAACAGACCTCAAGTTGTCACATGTGGTTTGTACCAATAACAGACATCTGGATTTTTTATTCAGGCAAATAACTTTCATACTGCGTTTGAAATGTTTCACCTTTTTTTCCAGGCTCATGCACTTTTGCACAAAACAGTTTCACTGAAACTGTTCTCTGACTGCACTGAGTTACAAACATAATTGAACAACATGGCTCCCTCCTTTAAAGGACAAATTTGTACACAGGTAGATCTGGCCAAATAGAAAACTTTATTTGTTATTAAATGTGTAATATACTCAATTGTGGCACTTTCAAATTTTACTTCAGAGTGGAGGTTTGAACATGTGGAGTGTCCTCAATTCCCAGGGCTAGGTCCTTAAAGAGCAATAGTTTTATTTCAGCTGTCTAACATAAAAGTACTTTTAATGCAAGAAACCAATTATCTAAGGGAACAGCTATGCATTTAGCAATTCTGAAAGTTAGGTCATTCAATAAAGGTTTCCAAAATATGAATAGAGAAGGCTAAATTGGCCATAATTTTTTTTAAATCTTGCCTATTGTATTTAAATCAGTTCTACTATTACTACTACTTCTGCACTATTTCTGTTCTTTGGGGTTTTATCAACTAATGGCATTTGCAAGAAAACAGGTTGTGTTTGTAAAAAGTCATCTGTTCCTGTTATTTATTTCTCAACAGTGCCCTTACTCCATTGCTGGCTACTTCATACTTATTGGCTGTGTAGATGCTTATAGTATTATAAAAAGGGGCCTGAATGCAGTTATGAAATAAGAAGCATGAACAGAGAAACTAAGAATCACTGATGTCTTTTGGAAAACTTTGTGAGGTGTCTTCACAGGCAGCAGACATGCTTCCTCCAGGTCTCCTCTGCTATACCTATTCACTTGGAGAAGTACCAATTGGCTTCAGTGGACACATGGTAAGACAGTACTCAAGGTGCATACTTGTATTATGTCATTTTTCTCTCTTCTTCAGTAGGAACAGATGCATGAACAACTCCCATTTTTTCTTACTTATTTCTCATACAAAGTTGTGACATTCATTTTGTGACCATCATTTTTAATGTTGATGTCACAAGCTGATCATTACAAGTTGTACAACCCAAGGCTTCAGTGACAGTTCTGTGTGCAGTTCAATCTGGTAAGGATACAGAGAGTCTGGCAGAAGTTTTTTCAACAACAACAACAACAAAAAGGGAGTTAAACTATCTTCTCAAAGTCAAATTACCTTGATAAAATTCTTTACCAAAATCCTGTTAAAATATATTTTTTCCAATTTGTCATCCTTTTGAAATGTGTTTTTCCTTTTATGGTGCAAAAATAGTAATTTTTTCAGGTGTTCTGTACATTCTTTCTCCAAATCAATTTTTTGTTGCATGATGGGAAAGGAATAATAATTTGTTAAATAAGGCTCAAGAGCTACATTCACTCTATCCTCCAACTACTTCAGTAGAACAACACTGAGAATGAAACTGAAAAAAAGTATCTAAATGTAGTCCCCTCAGACAAACTCAGAATAAAAATGTTTTGAAATATCTTGAATAAATCCTGGCTTAAATACAGCATCATGACTACTTTATCAAACTCGACTCATGTTACAGACTCCTGTCAAAGGGATGCAAACAAGTAGATATGTTTTTTTTCATGTGAAGGAAATAAAATAAGCTTAATTTTAAAAGCTGACATTTTTGTTTTCTGTAGGGCTTGGCCGGCAGTATAATACACCAAACTTTCTATGCTCAGGTATCATGCTAGCGCAGCTTTCCTTGAGTCACAAATGGAAGTTTCAGCTTCCATGCAAACAATGAGGGAAGATATGATCTCTCCTTGAACCAACCGAACTGCAAGTTTGGAATATATGATCCTACCAGTGAGTTAAGTAAAAGAGATGATTCATACACAACTAACCACTTGCCCACTGTCCTGGAAAAACAGAAACAATGTGCACACTGAGCTAGACCAAATTTAAACAGCAAGCTGAAAGTACTGCATATTTTATTTTAAAAAATAAAAGTATTGAAAAGAAAATACATGTAACCTCATACTAGCTGGAACCACTCTTCCTATAATGGAAGGATGCTAAACTTCTACATAGCAGATGAGCTTAGTCAAAGGGACAAAAACTTTCCAAAAAGTTACATGGATTTGGTTGGTGGTAAGACCAAGGTAAAAATTAAATCACTCTTCCTTTCTTTAGAATTACTTTCTAAAATTTGCTCCTGTTATTGTTAATAAAGTCCCCAATAATATGTTAAAAAATGAAATCACTAAAAACTTAATTTCTGTACTGGGTGGGGAAACAGGTACTACACAGAAGGGATACATCCTAACTTGCCCTCGGAGGTTGGGAAGCAGGAGTGGTGTGAAAGAGAACTACATTTCACTTCCAGTACCTGGCTCCATGGAGCATCAGCTTTTCCAGATGAACTGCAGCGACAGTGCAGGTCGAAGCACATACTGCCACATAGTAAGAGGGGGGACAAAGAGATACTAAAGAAGATAGAGCCAATACAGCATGTGCTAAAAGTAGAAAGCTAAAAATCTCCCTTTGTGATACTCAACCTACATCAGCAAGGCAGTCTGCCTAATTACACCAGCATCATTCAGTAAGTAACAAAGCCAAAGAAGTTTTTTCCATACTGACACTATTTCAAGTGAAAGGACAATATGGCTCTGTGTATGTAGCCAAAAAAATCTACACAAAGAGTCCTCTGCATACATCCTGAGGTCCTCTGCTACATGCAAAGGAAAACAATTTTTATTAAAAAAAAAACAAAACACCCACACATAGGAACCATGTAAATAACTCAAGAGTGGCCTTTAAAATTAATTTTATAGTCCTACCGTGGAGAATTGAACCCGCTGTCTACGGTAATGCTGCTGCTATCCATGCTGTCCAGGCGAGCTGAGTGTGTGGCTCTCTGGTTGCTGCTGTTTTCAGTTTCCTTTGGGGTAAGAAGAGTAAGATTCTTTTCAAATTTTCTTTGTAGATCCCTTTCCTTTTCCCGCTCAAGTAACCACTGCATAGTGCCCACATCATCCCTGTTTTTTTCTTCCTCTGCATTTTTATTTGTTCCTTCCTCCGAGTCATCATCATCAGATACATTATAATAATCAAAGGAGGGTTCCTGGTTCCCAGCTGGCTCTTGCTGTCTCTGTGAAATGGGCATAACTTGCGTGACGGAGGTTACTATAGCCTGTTCTAGTTTCTCACATCTGACTGGCAGTGTGTCAGAGGGTGTCTTTTGATGGGGTTTTAGCAGTGGTACACTAGACTTGTGATAGCTATTCACAGAGAGAGTATTATGTAGAGGTTTAAAAAGTGTATCTTTACTAAATATTTCTTTCCTTTTATCAAGGCTGCTTGATTCAGTGTTATGGTGCTGAGCCAGTCTCCCATTTGCAATTACTTCTGGAGTTTGGCCTGCAACTGCTGAAACCGTACTTGGGCCTTTTGGGGACTCCTCTTTGTGTACCCCAGGCTCTCTGGCTATGTGTTGAGACTGTCTTTCGGAGGGAGACATTTTTTTTATCCCATCTGTCGAAGTCATTGTGTCATGATCCTCCTTATTTTTTCCCAGTGGTGATGGAGCAGTAAGTACAGTCTCACTAGAAGTGTTGCACTGAAAATAGTCATCAATTGCTGATTTTGTTGTGCAGGAATTGAGCTCACTATAGGATGGTAAATTCTCTGTAGGTTTGCTTTGTTCCATTAGACTACAAGAGCTGGGGGTTTCTACACTGCCACTAACTATGTCAGATATACATGTTTCTTTATAGTTTACAGATGAAATCAGAGCCCTTTGATGACTGAGTGATTGTGAAGGCCTTAAGGTACTGTCATCAATATATGATTGGCTATTTGTTTGATCATCTGGACTACAGCCTTCACCCATGTCTTCAGGTGTACCTAAAGTAGAAGAACCCAAAGGTCCCTTGGAATTATCCATTGATCTAGACCTTTCCTTGGCCTTGTTAGATCTTTCATTTCTTGATCTTCTATCTTGTGTATGGCTGTGGCTTCGATGGACCTTGGAGTGGGAACTTCCCCTTGAAGGTTCAGGAAAAGGCATCTCTGTTCTTCTTTTGGCCAGCTCACCAGATACATCCCATTCTGGTGTCATGGGAAAGTGAGACTCGATCATATTAGGATTGCTATGCATGATAAAATTATCTCCTTTGTGCTCTATTATGAAACAGCCCTCCCTGGGGGATCTTGTAAGGGGATCATAAAACTCATACTCCCTTTCAGCTGGTATATCCAAATGAGAACCATCTGAAGGATCTCCTTTGGACACCCGGCTCTTGCTGTGTGACCGAGATTTCCCATGAGACTTCCTGTGATTTCTACTCTTTTTGCTTCTCCCGCTATGGTGAGCTGAAGATCCTGCTTTGCTTCTTTGAGCTTTTTCTTCTTCAAGTTTCTTCATCAGTGCAGTGTGCCTCATGACATTTTCCACAGTCAGATCTGGGTTAATGCGCCTTATAATCTCCATTTCCACCTCTCTAGGTATAGTGGCAGGGGTGTCTTCATCCCTTAAAGGCCATTCCTCAGGAGGAAATTGAGCAGAAAAATTAGCCAATTGTTTTGCCTTATCCTTTTTAAAACTTAGTCGAAATAACTTTAGTCCAAATTTTTTAGACTGCTTTTCTACATCCTTAGGCTTTGCAAGTGTCTCTGCTTTGTAGGAAAAGTTTACAGTACTTTTACTTTTTTCAGTAGGTGGTACCTGACATAGTGATGGAGGACAATACGAGTCCTTACAGTCTTTTGCTGACTTCCTCTGCAGGGTGGATGCATGCATGCTGTGCATATCTTCTCTGCAACAATGGCAAGAGTCGCAGTGGTTTTTGGGTAAAGTTCGGTCCCTGACACATCCTGAGGTGGAGGGAGTTATAGTTCCTTGTTGTGGAGAGGTACACTGAGATCTGTCCGGTATCCTCTCATCCAAATGGTACCATTTGCTGTTAGTTCTTATGAGGGATGGTGTTATAAAATAAGTTTGTGGAGTCACAATGAAATAGCCATCTGGAGTTGGATATATTTTCCTTTCTCGTACAAGCATGTTCAAGGTGTGCCGAAGGATTTCAGGACTGGGAGTTGGAACACCTGAAAAACAACATTAAGTATGTATGAAGGACAGTCTAAACCATGGAAAATTTACTTCCCACCACACAAGAATGTCAGAGTTTTGCCAACACAAAAGTGAACAGTAAGTTAAGGAAATAATTCAAACAGAACACACTGTGATGCATTCTTTTTTTTTTTTTTTTTAATTCACTTACCTTCCGCACTTCAGGCATATGAATTAGTAACAAAATTAAAAATAAGACGCTAATAGAACATATATAAAAAATGCACCAAATAACCTTTAGTTGCTTACATAGCACGCAACCTTTAAATGCCCAAATGAAATCTCTTTAAAGGAAGAACATTCATAGTTTCATAGTTGGTAGGGTCGGAAGCAGATCATCAAGTCCGACACCCTGTCACAGGCAGGAAAGAATGCTGGGGTCAAATTACCCCAGCAAGGTGTCTATCTAGCCTCCTTTTAAAGACCCCCAGGGTAAGAGCGAGCACCACTTCCCTTGGAAGTTGGTTCCAGATCCTAGCCACCCTGACTGTGAAGTAGTGCCTCCTGATGTCTAGCTTGAATCTACTCTCCGTCAATTTACGGCCATTACTCCTTGTTACTCCCAGTAGTGCTCGGGGGAACAGGGACTCTCCCATTGCCTGGTACTCTCCCTTGGCCAGTGTGATAGAGCCACCAGATCCCTCCTCAGCCTTCTCTTGTGGAGGCTGAACAGGTTCAGGTCCCGTAGCCTCTCCTCGTAGGGCCTCCCCTGCTGCCCCCTGTTCATGTGGGTGGCCCTCCTCTGGACCCTCTCAATGTTGTATACATCCCTCCTGAAATGCACCACCCAGAACTGGATGCAGTACTCCAACTGCAGCCTGACCAATGTCGCATAGAGGGGGAGGATCATCTCCTTGGACCTGCTCATGATGCATCTGTGGATGCATGACAAGGTGCGGTTAGCCTTCCTGACTGCGTCCCCACATTGGCGGCCCATGTTCATCTTGGAGTCTATAATGACTCCAAGATCCTTTTCTGCCTCTGTGCTGATGAGAAGGGAGTTCCCCAGCCTGTAGGTATGCTGCTGATTCTTTCTCCCTAGGTGCAGTACCCTGCACTTGTCAGTATTGAATCCCATCTTATTCTCATCCGCCCACCCTTGTAACCTGTCCAGACTCCAAAACAGAGTAGGAGTTTTGAAGAGATGGGAGCCCAGGAAGCGTGGCTGTGCCTTAAGGAAATGATCCTTCGGGCACAGAGGGAGATGATCCTGATGCGAGGAAAAAGAGGGAAAGGGGCCAGGAGGCTTCCTTGGATGACCAGAGAAATCCAGGGCAGCCTGCGGACTAAAAGGGGAACATATAAAAAGTGGAAACAGGGAGAGATTACCAAAGAGGAGTATACCTCCTCTGCTCGCACTTGTAGGGAGGCAGACAGGCCAAAGCTACCATGGAGCTGACGATGGCATCCCAAGTAAAGGATAAAAAAAAATTGGTTTTTTAGATATATAGGGAGTAAAAGGAAGGCCCAGGGTGGAATAGGACCCCTACTAAATGGGCAGAAGCAATTGGTGACAGACAGGGGGGACAAGGCTGAACTCCTCAATAAGTTCTTTGCCTCAGTGTTCCTAAGTGAGGGGCAGGACAAGGCTCTCACTGGGATTGTAGAGAGGCAGCAGCAAGGCACCAGACTGCCATGCATAGACTCTGAGATGGTGCAGAGTCACTTGGAGGAACTGGATGCCTTTAAGTCGGCAGGCCCAGATGAGCTCCATC